GGAGCTCCACGTGACCCTGCAGCTGCGACCGGGAGCAGCCCTTGACCAGCCAGTCGTCTAGATAGGGGAAGATCTGGACCCCACAATGTTTGAGGTAGGCTGCCACCACAGACATGCACTTTGTAAATACCCTGTGAGCAGTACACAGGCCAAACAGGAGGACCGTAAATTGATAGAGCTCCTGCCCAACCATGAAATGGAGGAAGCGCCTGTGTCCCTTGAATATATGAATGTGGAAGTACGCGTCCTGCAGATCAAGGGCGGCGTACCAGTCCCCGGGATCCAGGGAGGAGATGATGGAGCCCAGAGAGACCATGTGAAACTTGAGCTTTACCAAGTATTGGTTCAGGGGTCGCAGGTTCAGGATGGGCCTGAGCCCCCCTTTGGCCTGCGGGATAAGGAAATAGCAGGATAGTACCCCTTGCATTTGAATTCTGCTGGCACCACTTCCACCGCTCCCAAGCCAAGGAGCCGGGCCACCTTCTGCTTGAGCAGGGCCTCGTGAGGGGATCCCCCAGGAGGGATGGGGGCGGAGGGTGGTTGGGCGGGACAGAGGTAAACTGGAGGGTGTAGCCTCGGGAGATGGTGTTGAGGACCCAACAGTCCAAAGTCAGCCACAAACACTCCGGGAGAAAAGCACGCAACCGGCTGGAGAAGGGAAGCTTTATCGTGGGTGGATCCCTGGTATGAACTGGTAAGTTGCCCCTGGGCGTCCCGTCAAAACTGACGTTTCCCTGCCTGTTTACCCTTGGAGGGCCCAGGCTGGGGGGCAGATCAGGACTGCCTCTGCAGGCGTTTCTTATAGTCCAGTGACTTTTTATAAGGGGGTTCATATTTAGAGTTGGTGGCCTGGGTGGAAGCCTGCTGAGGCTTAAACTTGGACCTGGCCAAGCGTCTTAAGCGTTGTGCGGGAATCTTTCAGGCTGTGCAATTTCACGTCCATCTGTTCCACAAACAGGGCCTTGCCATCAAACGGGAGGTCCCGCAAGGAGTTCTGCGCCTCACTGGACAGCCCAGACAGCAGGAGCCACAACGCCCTCCTCATGGACACCGTGGAGGACCTAGACCTTGCAGCATCCGATGCTGCCTGCAGGGTTGCCCTGGCAGCCGCTGTACCCTCCTCCACCAGAGCTTTGAACTCCTTCCTATCACTCTCTTGGAGTCCTCGAACTTGGGTAGAGAGCCCCACAAATTGAACTCATACCGACACAGGAGAGCCTGATGGTTCGCCACCCTTAACTGAAAACTTGAGGACGAATAAACCTTTCTCCCAAATAAGTCCAGCCTCCTTGAGTCTTTATTTTTTGGAGTAGGGGCTGGTTGGCCCTGCTTCCCCCTGTGATTGACTGACTCGACCACCAGGGAGTTGGGGGCAGGGTGGGTGTACAGGTATTCGTGCCCCTTGGTGGGCACAAAGTACTTCCGTTCTGCCCTCTTAGAGATGGGGGGCAAGGAATCTGGGGTTTGCCACAAGGCATTTGAAATTTTTGCCATCCCTTTGTGCCGAGGTCGAGAGGATGTCGAAGAGGGAGTCCGAGGGTTCCTCCACCTCCTCGGCCTGAAGGTTGAGGCTTGATGCCACCCTTTTTAATAGTTCCTGGTGGGCCTTAGAGTCCTCCTGCAGAAAAGAGGGAGGAGGGGCCGCAATCGCCTCATCAGGGAAGGATGAGGATGCGGGTGCAGTACTCTGCATATCCACCAATACCGGAGGTCCCACCACTTGGTCGCCCTCCGGGCACGGAACCAAAGATGCACGCCCCACCAACTCCTTTCTGGGAGGCTGGGAGAGGGAGCCTGACGGTCTCTCCCAGGCTCCAGCCACCAAACGAGACCCCACCGACTGACTAGCCTGTCCCATCGAATGACCACTATGAAGGGAGGCCGGGCTGGCGTATGACCTGCCGCTGTCCCTGGATCGGAAGGAGCAGTGGTGTCGGGAATGGTGCCGACCACGAGACCGTGATCCCAATATGGAGGAGCGGTACCGCTGGCAGCAGCTGCTCTGCGATCGACTCCGGCGGGCGGATCCACGATGGCGAGGTCCAGGCGATCGACGTCCAGAACTGCGGGAGCAGTGCCGCGGTGGGGTCCTGGAGTGAGACAAAGAACGGGAATGGTGTCGACACAAGTATCGCGATGGGCTATGGTAGCCTCTCAGAGATGAAGACCTCCAGTGCTGTCTGTCTTGGTCTCGACGGGGCCCACTTCCCTCGCGAGGTCTACGGTCCCTCAAGGCGGAGCGGTGCCTGGAACCCCTGTCAGTTGGAACCCAGCCAGACAACCTGGTGGGGGTCAACGGGGACTGGCGTGGACTGCACACGGGGCCATCGCTGAGTGGCGAATGGCGTCAGGAACATTCCCTCAACTGCAAATGATACCAACCAGGCAGCGACTGCGGAGATCCAAGCGGTCACTTGCCTCTGGACTGGGGACCCAATAGTGGCAGTGCCCCTGGTACCAGCAGAGACATAACGTCCTGGGCCGCTTGCAGGGCCTCCAGCGTGGAGGGCAACTGGACATCTGGGGAAACCTGCGCCGAATGGGCCGGGCTACTCCGCTCAACCTGAGTCGGAGGTCTGGAGGCCAACGGGGACTGAGAACTGCCCAACATGGGTCTATCTCTCCCCTGGTCTTGCTCCGGTGCCTCGGTGGAGAAGACCTCTTCTTAGCCTTCTTGGCATGCCCCGTGGACAGGAAGCGGTGCTGAGTGGTGGAAGGCACCGAAGGGTCGCTGCGCACCGACACCGCGGTACCCAGTGCCGACTTGGAGCAGCATACCGGAGTCGGGGTCAACGTTCACTACATCAGAATGGCTTGAAGCCAAATGTCCCTCTCCTTCTTGGTCCAAGGCTTGAAAGATCTGCCAATCTTGCAGCGATCGCTGAGATGGGTTTCCCCCAGACAGTGTAAACAGTCCGCGTGCGGGTCACTCACTGGCATCAACCGCCTGCAAGTGTCACACGACTTAAAGCCCCGGGCACGGGGCATGCCACGACCCGGGCGCACTAAACTAAACTAACACTAATCTAAACTACTTTAACTACAGGTACTACTAAGTATGAACTAGTTCAAGAGGAAAGCTGCAGAGCAGTTCCAATGCACCTTCACTAGCGGCAAGAAGGAACTGAGGGTGTGGGGAGTGTGCAGCACCCCTTATACTGTGTCATGGAGGCGCCACACCAGGGTCACTAAATGCGCTCCCCTATGGGTACTGCTAGGGGAAAAACTTCCGGCACCAGTGCACAAGGCAAGCACGCACACCTATTGTGGAATACACATGAGCAATCACTCGAAGAAGAACTAGACTGAAACCATCAAACAGCTTCAGGTGTATGAGCAACAACTTTAGGCCACTGGTAGCCTTGGCCAGAATCCAAACAACAATCTAGAAACTAGGCTTTGTTTAATATAACTATGAATTTTTCTTACACGGTTGTTTTTATAGTTAGCAGATCAGACTCTATCATTATATGGCTGCATTGTTCTTACACTTGTGGAAGTTGGGAAAAGCGCAGACATCTTAGTCTTCCAGGAAGAGCAAGAGTCAGGCTAACTCTAACTCTAATAAAGCGAGACTTTAAGGCAGGGCCTGGGCAAGTGGGAAAAACTGTGAGAGGTTATTTTGACCTTGTGTTAGATAAGAATGGAATGCAGACTGTAGCAGAAAATTTCTTAGAAAAGTAAGATATCAGGAAGGAATATGTATAAACAAAATGCAGCTGTTGATCATTACTGTATGTCACAAAAGGTATAAATGCTTGCCCTAATTGTATATCTGGCTGAGACCTGCCTCGGGAGGGAAAATCCCTGTCCATGCACACTCTCCCCCTTGCAATTGCTTGAGAATAAACACTGCCTCTGACTTGCTGCAACCAACCTAAGAGTGAAGACTCATTATTCTTCCACACTCTTAACGTATGAAATGTTTTGGATCAGATACAGGAACCTAGTTAGAGCCTTTATCCACCTAAGGAAATTTTACTCAGTCTTTAGTGTATTTCTCCTCACAACATCCCAGTGAGATAAGGAAACACTGTTCTACAGATGGAAAATGAGGCACAGTAGAGCTAAATGACTTGTCCAAAGCACCTATGCTTGAGGTAGAACTAGACTCCAGCTCTCCCATACTCCAGACTAGGGCCCTAACAATCAGACCATCCATTTCTCTTGGGCAGGGCCAGCGCAACCCATTCGGCGACCTAGGCAGTTGCCTAGGGCGCTAACATTTGGGGGGCGGCGACCGCGGCGGCCAGATCTTCGGCCACCCCGGTCGTCGGTAGTATTTCGGGGGCGGGACCTTCCGCTGCCTCTGTCGGGGACGGCATTTCGGGGGCGGGACCTTCCGCCGCGTAGGGCGGCAAAAAAGCCGGCGGCGCTCCTGCTCTTGGGGCATAGATTTTCCTGCTCCAGATTAGCATCCAATCCTGCTCTGATCAGTATGCATTTGTTTTTAGACATTTTTGGTTTAGACATTCGATGTTTGTGAATAAGAATTCCATATGCTCTATTAATGAATAGCTTCCACCATTTTTCTCATATACAGACTCATGGTTTGATTCATTTTTCTTTTTTTTTTTCTTTATTTGTGTGTTGGCTATATAATACATATCCCAATAAACATAATGCATATATGAATACATCATACTGGATCAACCTCAAATGAATATTTGATTTTGTTTTAATTTGCTTCCACATTGTTTGCTTGGGTCCCCAGGGCCTATGGGTGAGATGCAGTTGCATAATGGTTTGAGAGATGAGAATCTGATATTGATATTCCTATATTTAAACAGAAGATGCAGGTGTTTTAAAGTATTTATGAAATTGCTTGATTGACTCTCATATAGAAGCCTATTGATAATAAGTTTAAGCTTTGCAGCTAGGGTATAAAATGATTATATTAACATTACTAACGGTCATGGATTTCATAAATCTTAAGAGAAAGGATGCATATGTCACATATAATGCATGAAAAAGTTGTTCTTTTACCGTGGATAACTTACCATTGTGTAGATACTCTGCTGATCAGCTATTCCATTATTTGAATAAGTATCTGATGTCTTGTTTTCTTTCAAGAAGGCAGGTGCAAGATGAAGCAGGAAGCCTGCCAAGAAAGATGATAAATTGCTATTTGGTGCTGAGGACCAATGCTTAACATTAATGCAATGCTGCTAGCAATTAAAGCGGCTAGTATAGTAATAAGAAACTGGGAAGAAAATAATTTCTGATCCCAAGTGTAAGAGGTTCATTTCTTTAATTGTCATCATCTTTAGTACATATAAAATATTTGTTGGGATTGTCTGATTGCAAACAAAATGAAACGAATAAAAAACCTATAATGTACAAGCCATTAATATGTTACAATATGATTAACTGCTATTCCAGTGGGAGAGGAATCTTACAAACCGAAGCAAACAATTTTACAACAAAATTAAACAGAAAAATAATGGGAAAAAATTAAGGGCCATACGCGCACTGGGGAGCAATTATCCACTTGAGTAATCCAACTGACTTTTATGTACTTCACAATCTAGACTAAAGTAAGAGGTCTCAGAAAGAAGAGCCAGAGGTTCCCTATGTACTTTGCAATATTAAACTTGGGTTTGTTTAAACTAACTTCAAAAAGGATCCCGTGCAATTTCCGTATTTTATGTTGGTTCAACGAAGAGGGGGAAATCCAACATGTTGTTCAAAACTTTTAAGTTCAGTATTATAAGAACCAAAAGCTAATGAGGTGGAGCTGCCAGGCTTTTTGTTTGATCAGCTATAACCACCCATGTCCTAAGAGATTCTGGATCCGGGTGGCTTTCTGAAAGAAACATGATTCCATCGATTTTATAAATTATGTTAAAATTCATTAAACAAATTAAAATAAAAATCAAGAAAACACATAATCAAACCTAAGTCATTGTTAATACTAAGCTAAACTAAAATAATACCATACAACCATCAACTCAATATCAAACCAAGGTCCAATTAAAAAAATCAACAAGTTAGTCACAGTGCTGGAATGGAATTAAATCATCAAATTAATTCTAAAAATAATCAATCCTTACAGATTCTAAAGGGGATTCCAAGAGGGCAGCTGTCCATTTGGTTATAAATCCCAAATGAAGAATATTACAAAAGTTCATTGTATCTGTAACTTGGAGCTGGTTAAATGTCTTAATATTGGAACCAAATTATTATTGAATGTCTGAACCATAACCTCCGAGCTAATTATAAAGCTTCCAATTTAGAATTCTATTCTTGGGTGCTGACTAATAGCCGCCTGCACTCCCCACCCCACATCCAACAGAAAAATTAAACAGATTTTAACACAATACTCTCAATAAGCAGAAGTTTAACAACTATTATCTACCTTATGTTACAGGTAAGGATGTCGAGTCACCCAGGACTATTAAACACAGACCACACTTTAGTAAGTATCTTTATGAGATGATATTTAGGGATTTCTAAACCTGGGACCTTCCCTATGTGGACTCTATGGGTTTTTACAGACACACATGCACACACTTTCAGACCTTCAATATAAAGAATATAAAAAAGCTGGGATGTCTCCCAGCTAATAAAAACAAAAGAAAACTGTAGCAGGGTGGACACCCGCTCCTGCCCTGAAGGGCTTGAAATCAGCCCTGAAAGAGGGCTGCAGTGGTAAAAGCATCCCTGGAGAGGGCTGCAGCTCTAAAAGCTGGGCTGATTGGGGAAGCAGCCACAATTGGGCCACACCCCAATCAGGCCACAGCTGGCCTGTATAAAAAGGCTGGGAGCCAGGAGCTCAGCAGTCTCTCTCTGCGTTCAGAGAGAGAAGAGCCTGGCTGCAGGGAACTTAACCAGGCATCTGGAGTGGAGCAGGACTGGGGAAAGGTCAAGGGAGCTGGGGAGCTCCGGCCTTGGAAAGCCCCAGGCTGCAGGCCTGGTAAGGCCTATTAGGTACTGGGTTGCAGGGGGCAGCCCACGGGTAGCCAGAGACAGCAGGTCCAAACCCCTTGCCTGTGATGAGTGGCTTATACTGCAGTCTGCCCCAGTGAACGGGGGCTAGATGGAGACTGGGCAGTAGCCAAGACTGAGGTGAAGTGGGGATAGTGGGTGGGGGTTCCCCTGGGAGTGGGAGACCCAGAGCTGTGAGGGGTTACTGCCAGGGGGCAGCACCCCAGACAACAGAGCACCGGGTCTGGGAGGGACACGGGGGCCAAGCAGCAGTGGGACACCAGCCTGCAGAGTGCACTCCAAGGCTGGAAACGAGCTAATTCCTGAGACGACCAGCAGGAGGCGCCGCAGGGGTGAGTCCCGCATGCTTACACAAACATAGAAAAAAGGAAAACTAAGACACTAAACTGGGGGTTCTCAAACTCTTCAGCTCTTGCAGTCTTCTGGACTCTCGTAGAATAGGACCTGGAACTGTGGTCAAGGAGCCAGACAGTGACATTCTGCTGACACAGTGCTTCTCACTAGCAGCTCTTCTTTGGGTGCCAGGAGACTGGTCAAAAGCTGGTGTGGCCTGTATGTTTATGTCTTGATTTCCTCTGCCCAACATGGCTGGAATTCTGGAATATTGTTGCCAGACTGGAAAGGCTCGGCTTAAAATCGTTATTTCTTTGTTGGATGCGGAGTGAGGGAGGGGCTATTAGTCATCACCCAAAAATAGAACTCTATGTAGGAAACTTTATAATTAACTCTCAGGTTGTGGTTCAGACATGTATGATTTGCTATCTTTGCTTACTTCTTCTTGCAGCACTTCCCTCCAAGGCCATCAGACAAATCAGGTGTGAGGCAATTTTAAGTGAAGTTCTGTTTGAAACAGCAATTTTTAAAAATATTCAATGTTTTACATACCACAGATATTGTAAGTCTGTGACGCTCCAAAATTCCAGATGCACAATACCATTTTTGAGGATGTTGGCACGGTCTTATGCAGGTGAACAGGTCGTGAGATGACATTGTGTCACCAGTTTGCAGAAAGTTTGATACAAAAATCTTATTTTTGGGGTGGGGGGAAGAATTGCTAGGGTTCTTTTTCAACAACTAGTCACTCAACATTCATCCATCAGCAAAATTAAAAATAATTTGACTTATGATCAATGTCATCATTCTTCTCACAAACAAGACCATTTACAGTGATCTTTCTATTTTGGAACTGGGCTATGTGTCAAACAGGTTATCTTGTGGAATCTTTATCTTGATAGAGAAAAGTGGCTTTAAGACCTATCAAGATGAAATCCATTTTAGAAATATAATTTTTTAAAATGTATAAGGTCTTTTATTCCCCTATATACTATTTCTCTCACAGTACACCCAGAGTAATGCAAGTCTTTTAGAATTAATAAGGCAAAGTTGTGTTCTTTTTAATCTTCTCCACAGTTACTTCAGAACTACAAGCCAAATCACAGAGGCAAAGGAAGGCTGTGAGATGGGAAGTTGGCTCAAGATTTAATTGTTGATTTTCCATGTTTTATATCCTTCTGCAAGTTCTAATCTTTAAAAAATTCTTTTTGCAAATGTGGATGACTTCTCAGCTTTATTAATAACATGTGCAATGTTTGTGCTCATGTCTCAATTTATCTTTACTATAACAAATATCCTCTTTGCAGCTGTGACTTTATCAGGATTATTTTGTTTTATCACACAGCGTGGACAATAAGAAACCAAAGCCAGCAAAAGAATTCAAAATACATATCAAGCCAGTGACATAGCAAGACACATTTTAGAGCAGAAGCCCTAAGGGAGAAAATAAGAGTAGGAAGAGATGTTAGAGAAGACATGCCACTGTGCTAGCACTTTAAGTTACTGTAATTATCTGGCGCATGTATAATGTTCACTGAAAATGATAACAACATAGACGAGGTAATTTATCAGTGTAGAGGAGGTGCAAATTCTAGTATTTTTGTGTTACACTCACACAACTCCATAACCTCACTAGGATTGTACAAGTATAACTGAGGGAAGAATCTAGCCCTAAAATAGGTTACTATTTTTTTCAGTTCTCAGTGTTTCAGATTTAAAGAGAGAATTGTAAATATTCTGCCATTATAAAAAATACATGTTCCTTAATATCACTACTGCCTTTGTATTGATAGAGGCATTAATGGCCTCATCCTACAAAGTCTTATTACTGTGGGCAGGTCTTCACTACAGGGGGGGTCGATTTAAGATACGCAAATTCAGCTATGCGAATAGCGTAGCTGAATTGGACGTATCGCAGCCGACTTACCCCGCTGTAGGGACGGTGGCAAAATCGACCTCTGCAGCTTCCCGTCGACGGCGCTTACTCCCACCTCCACTGGTGGAGTAAGAGCGTCGATTTGGGGATCGATTGTCGCGTCCCAACGGGATGCGATAAATCGATCCCCGAGAGGTCGATTTCTACCCGCCGATTCAGGCGGGTAGTGTAGACCTAGCCTAAGTGTAGTGACTACACATGGTGGTTACGAAGTTTTTGTGGGATTGGGCCTTTAATGGGATGGGATCATTGGTATGAAGTCAGGTTATGAGCCTAAACATGACAGGTAAGCCATGCACTCAGAAAAAAGACACGTCCTCTGCCCTGTCTCTCCACCTCTCACCATTCCTCACCCCATCTCTGGCTGGAGGAAAAGGGGAACAACTAGGACACTCTTGCAGCGGCACGTTTGGCCCCTTGGGGCTCTCAGATTGATCTAACTCAATGCAAGTGAACTGGCCCTATAGAGGCTCTACCACAATTGGGGAAGTACAAAGTTGAGATTTACCACCTTAGCACACTGCTCCCTGAGCAGCACTCCCCTCCCCCTCGACTCCGTACCCAGCATATGGCCCTTTGTCATCTGTCCTTTATTCGTTTTCTAATCCATAAGAATACTTTACTTCTCACTTCATGACTACTTAGTACTCTCCGATAAGAGACTTTTCCTTTGGCCTTTAGGAAGTCCACACAAATTACACTTCTACCCCGATATAACGCTGTCCTCGGGAGCCAAAAAATCTTACTGCGTTATAGGTGAAACCATGTTATATGGAACTTGCTTTGATCCGCCGGAGTGTGCAGCCCCGCCCCCCCCCCCGGAGCACTGCTTTACCGCATTATACCCGAATTCATGTTATATCGGGTTGCGTTATATCGGGGTAGAGGTGTATGTCAAATGGTCCTCTTCTATCCACCACTTTGCTAACACGCTCAAAGGATTCAAATAGATAAGAGAGACATGATTTTCTTTTGCCAAAGTCATAACCACACTCTGTTTTCATTTCTCTTTTTCCCTTTTGCGGTATACTTCTGTGATTCTAAATAGCTTCCATATTGAGTCCAAGGTTTTTAATTTCTCTCTTTCTTCTCTTTTTTGTTTAATGTTTGCATTTAGGGTTTCCTTGATTAGCTTATTCATTTTCATTTAAATCTCTTTTCTAAAATTTAGTTTGCACCAGGGTAATGTTCAGGAAGACAGTTGAGCCAGTTTTCCTGCTGCTTTGTGCTGCTAGAGAATTGGGTTCAGGGGGTTTCTTTGGAAAATATACTAGTGACTGGCTTGAACTCATTATTTGCTATAAAGCCTGTTTTAATTTAAATCTCTCCTTACCATTGGCATCTAGGGCTGCAGATCCAATATTTTTCATCTTATATTCCAAAATGTCTTCTGAGGCATTGCACCATTCTTCCACATCATTCTGAATACCTTCATGTTGGCCTGTCTTTTCCCAACTCTGGTGATCCAACAAGGAAAGCCTGATTTCAGCTAGTGATTCATCTTCACTTACACATCCAATGTTCAAAGACTCAGCCCTTTTAGAAAGTTCTGTTGCAACACAAGAAAACATTACTCTTATAAGTTACACTGACTAGGTCTGAAAGGGGTATGTGAAGCATCTTATTAAAGTGAATTCACTTGAAAAATCACAATAGCATGAGGGAGAAGTTAAACTCTAGGAATAGTTAATATAATTATGAATAATATCAATTCTGTCCTTGATTCCTAAGATTGAAAGACCAAGAAATATGTGATGAAGCACATTCTCAATACCCCCTTATCTGAAAAGGAAATATGAAAATTAAACATCATGAGTCTGATTCTTCATTGCTTTGCATGCCTGTGTAGTCATTTGTGATGTATGGGAAGCAGGTGTAAGAAGCTACCAAATCAAAAATCCTCCACTCAATCACAATAATGGCAGCACAAACAGTGGTAAAGTTAGCACCACTTCTCACAGGGGTAAGTGATGACCCAAGCTACAAGTCAGAGGAGAATCATCAGGCCCTAGGACTGCTTTAACTATACTCTATATTTTACAGATTTATATTGTTGTTGTTGAATTAAAAAATATGTTACACTTTTGGAAAATATTTGAAACATTCATCAACCAACCTCCAGATTATCTGCTTTGTCTCAGTTAGAATGATTATTGGACCTGATTCTGCATTCATTGAAGTAAATGGCAAAACTCTTATTGGACTTCAGTGAGAACAGAATCAAATCTGCTATCTGTATGAGAATAAGGAACGTATTCATCAGTCTGTACTTATCCATCAGTGCGTAAGCAGCCTCTCTGACATCAGTGAACTACTTCCAAAAGTACAGACTGGGAATTAGATTCTAAGGAGTGAAGTCTTTTTGGTGTTTTAACATCAAGATCATGACACCTTGAACCAGAAACATATTGTTACCCTTTTTGAACCTGAGCTGCTACTCAAAGTTCAGGGCCCTGAGGATGTCCTTGTCTATTGATGATAGACTCTGATATAATTTCTTTGATGCAGCCTTCTTTATTTACAAAGAACATACAAAGTCCTGCTTCTCTGAATGCAAGAGGCCCCAAAAGCAAAAGGAGCCATTACTTAGTTAACTTTCATATGAGTGCATTTGAATATAGGGGCAGAGGGGCGATCTGACAGCTGGACAATCTATTAGAAGTCTGGTATGCTGAAGAAGGATAGATTTAATCACATGCTTAAAGTTAATCTTGTGCTTAAGTGCTCTGCTGAACTGGGGTCACAAGTTATGAGTAAGGGGAGTCAGGAGCTGTCATTTATGTAAATTATGCTGATCATTATGTATCTTTTCACAGACATGATAAATGAGATTAAAAATGCCTTGGTCCATCCTCTTTGTTTGTATTTTGTCGTGTAGCAATGAATTTTGTTGGCTACCTGCCTTGTTAAATACAGTATCTGAATTCATGCATGCATATTCTGATGCCTTCTTTTAGGGGATTTCATTATTAAGTATTATTATTACAGAACACTGACATCCTTAGAAAAAGCAGAACCATATTTTGGGTAATTCTGAACATACCTGAACATTCTGAGTGCAAAATTCCCAGAAAAGATCTAGCTTGACAATGCTCTGCTCACATGCTTACCATTCAGCAAATGCTGAAGTGCTTCGCTGGACAGGGGTTTAAGTTGTGGTCTCAATTAAAACAAATATTCTCAGCAATTTGGAAAATCATGCTATATAGGGCCTGATCCAAAGCCCATTAAGTGAGTGATAAGATGCTCATCAATTTCATTGGGCTTTGAATCAGCCCCCTATTTAGATACGTAAATATGGATTTATGAGCCTAACTTTATGCTCTCGTTTTTAAAAGTTTTTAGCCAAAATGTTTTGTCATAAGCATTTGTAGAGTGCTGTGTACATTTATGTTAATACACAAAAGGGGAAAAAATCAGGAATCAGATAGGAAAACCAACCTGAGAGATCTGATAAGTCTTCCTCAGAGGAGTCCCCTTCATCGTGCTGAGACAAAGAGCAGCCTGTTTGTGGATTAATTCCTTCAAGTTCATTGAATGCATCTTGTGTACCATTGCTAAGTTTGGATGTCTGAGATCTGACCTCACATGTAGTATCCGAGCATGCTAAAATATACAGGAAAATGAAAGTAGATTAAAGATTTCAAGAAAAGCTTGTTTCATTTCTTTTTAATCAAGACATTTGTATTAATTAGGTTTCACAGAACAATCTTTAAAAAAAAAATCAAAAACTTTGGGTCTGAAAGTAGCTGACAGTGTCCAAACTGATCCTGCAGCCTTTCTGCACACCCAACTCCGGACAATGGCACTGGCCTAAAAAATTGCTCCTCCCAAGAGAGGGGAAGTTAGTTTTTCAAAACGTACTCTTGGCCCCCTTTCCCGACCTTGATTGTCTCCTTCTTTCTTTTTTGGGCCTGGAGGTGCTCCCATACACAGGCAGCAACAAGTTAGTGGCTTCTAATATGATGCCAGGACAAAATAATCTTGCAGCAATCTGTTCCCTTGGGTCATTTTGCATCCTGGCTGGCTGAAGTGATCCCTTGGGAGTGCGTTGCCCTGGGGATTGTTCTCTTCATTGGGCTAGTGACTTATCATAATATCTTCTTCCCTCCCTTGGAACTGCAGAAAGAAATCTGCTGTATGTGGCCAGCAGAACAAGGATATCATTTGTCTGGTGGGAACGACTGGACACCCTTTTTGCCCCAGCACTTACTTCCTCTTGGCCTTCTGCCTATTCCCTAGTCATGGCAATCCCCAATGCTGGGGGCAAAGAAGAGAGCCACATTTCAAAACCAGAGCCACGGATTCCGCACTCCTGCTCTACTGGAGAGAACGCCAGGCCTACTCAAGTGTTGTCTCTATGGGCCTCATCTGTAGCCCAGGGAAGTCAATGGAAAGGCTCCCATTGATTTTAATGGGGTTTGGATCATGTCCTATGTCATCGCTTCTAGTGACTTCTTCAAAAATGATATAAAGCTTGGTACTACTCGAGCTACTACTTTAGCTCAAGGGGTAGGTGTAAGGACTCAGGAGTTAGGTTAGCTGGAGAGAAAGCAAGGCAGCTGGAATAGTTGCTCAGTTTGAATCTGCTCAGGATTCTGGAACCATCTAGTTCACGTTGGACATGCTCAAAGGATTAACATGCACATTACCATAGTCAACTCCCACAGTAGCAGCTTTACATTCTCCAATTTGCATCCTGTCTCACATGATAGTAACATGCGATCAGTCCTTACATTTAGGGGCCTGCGCTTTTGGAACAGAAGGTACAGAGTTCTATCTCCATTGACAACCGTGAAGTCTATATGGCTAGGGCAAGCAAAATAGTTGACAGCCATGAAGTTTATACAGCCAGTGAATTGTTAGCGTGAATGTATTATGAGGTATCAGCAGGCTGTGAAAAATCTTTGAAGATTTTGTGAGTAGGTCTGCATTAAAAGGGCAGTTGCTTTTATTTTACTGAAGCTAGCCCTATTGAAATTTCAGATGCTGATCATGTAATAGCTAGCTCTTTCATGACTATAAGGGGGCTGCTGCTATGTGTATACTGCACTCCTGTGAAAAAGGCATTGGCCCCCTTCAAATTGTTCAGCTATGAGTGGCTTCATACAATGAAAGGAAAGCCCTAAGACAGAACATGATGCATGTTGTCCCAAGAAATTCTTGTTCTTCATGTCCCTTGGCCTAATTATCTCAACTACAAAAAGAGCCTATAAGTAAATTCTCAGCACTCCATTTGGTCCTTAGTTGAAAAAAGTCAAAGATCTTAAAATCAGATTATCACATGATACCTACTGATTATAGTTGGTGCTAGTAGCTACACCTACAGTTAAGATTGCCCAACACACCGTACTGCAAGATCCTGTTTTCAGTTGCTTACAGCTTTATCAAATTGTATCAGTTTGGTCTGGAATTCAGTCATTTCCAAGAACAAAGTTAAAGGAAAATACGTTGTTTTGTGCATTTAAAGAAAATATCTTGTGACCATTTCATTGAGTTCTAGCACCTCCAAACACTGAAGCAGGGACTTGAAACTTGGAAAGATGTGGCCTTTTTGTCAAAATTGTGTCTTACTATTCCTGTGGAGAAACTGCACAAAATTGGCAAAGAGATAAGCCTTTGAAAATGTAAGTTTGCATACGCTCAGTAGAGGCTTGCTAGAGTTTGTCAGCTAAATTCTCTGAAGATTCCATCTGTGCTGAGCATGCTCCAGCCCAGGACAGCAGGGGGATGGGCAGGACGTTCCCTGCAATTGCTTCTCCAAGCATCCAGGAGGCCACTTTGGCACCAGGCACCAGAACTGAGAGCATGAAGATGCTCTTTCTTGTAGTCTCAATGCTGCCCCTGCTGGCTCCCAGGTAGCATGGAGGAGGAAGACAACAGCCTACTTCACAACACAACCCTAATTCATCCCCAGAGTAGGTCCATCCTGTTCACTGAATGAGGTACAGGTCCTGTGGAAAAAAAGTATGTGATCATGTAATTAAAGACTATATCATAATGCATACACCCAAGGGGGTTGGATTAAGCGAATTCAATTTTGGCATTTCCTACCTTTTGAGTGCTTGACTTGGCAACCTTAATATTCTTTTAATGTTGTTTTTATGTGTAAAATAGTCACAGTATATATATATGTCCCTTTAAGATTATCACACCTATATAGAGGAAAATAAATTTTCCTCTATATAGGTGTGATAATCTTAAAGGGACATATATTAAAATCATATATTTAAAAATATATCCCTACTTCTGTTACAAATAACATCTTTGGTTATCAAAACAAAGAATTTTACAAATCTTATTTATACAGAACCTAACTTTGGGGCAAGTTTGACAAGTCTTTTTGTATATATATTATCTCTCTGCACTCTGTTTCTAAATCTGGACCTTATCTTCGGCCATTAGTTTTAAAGTCAATTAAGGGTTAAAACACACTATAAAACCTCCATGCACATCAGCTGAGGGACATTCATTTGATAATGGTTGTGTTCTGACACAATTTAAATATATATGATCAAAAGTAAAAAGCAAGAAACATATTCTGTATTATCATTACACTGACGGGCTTCATCTAATTATTAGCCAGTACCTGAACAGATTTGCAGTCAAGATTAGCAGAAACATGTAGGCAGAGAAGATAATCTGCATGAACGATAGTACTTTTAGAATAACAGGGTTACTAAAAAATGAGACTTTCCACCTTGTTTTCATGACTTACTTTCAAAAGCTGGATTTCCAATATAAAATGGAATTAATAAAGGAAGTTACTGAATGGGGACAAAATGGCCAGCTATTCCAAGGAATCATTTACTAAAAACTAACCTATATTCTGTTGGGACTATTCTGTGACTCTGATTCAGGACAGTAGTTAAGCATGTGCTCAACTTTAAGCCAGTACTTTAGTCATGTTTGGATGTTTTTCTTCAAGATTGGATTTTTTTCTAAACAATATACTCTATGAATTATTTAGAGGAAATAGCCTGTACTATACAGGAGGTTAGACTAGATGATCACAATGGTCCCTTCTGGCCTTGGAATCTGTGATTAAGTGCTATCCTGGATAGGAATGCTTTCTTGAATTGTAGCCTACGTTAGTAAACTGCAACAAGTATCTTGTAACCATTTTCATGATCAAAACCACAAATGAAAAAACAAATTTCATCAAATCAGATGAAGTAAAATGGCTTCTAATGTAATAAATGCTCTGTTCATTACATACCATCATGCTAGATACACCTTTTTTCTATCAACATTTAAAAAAATGTTTCAAATGAGTGTACTTATGTATGTTGAGATATTATGACAAAGATTTTTAAAAAATGAACTCTGAACGTAAGTCTCCAAAATCCATATTTAAGAGACTAAATAATTGGTCTGATTTCCAAAGGCACTGGGCACCCGGAAATTTTCACTGAAGCCAATGGCCGCTGCTAGATGCTCGCACTTTTGTAAATCAGCCCATTTATTTAGTTACCTAAGTATGGATTTTGGAGAATTAATTTCAGGGGCCCATTTTTGAAAATCTTGGCCTAGTCCTTTTAAAATCACAATGTACAGGCCAAAAAGAGCAAAATTTAGCCCTAAAAATTAAAAGACATAAAATTTCAAATTTGTAAAGCCACAGCAAACACAAATATATGGGTAACAGAACAAGATAGAAAGCATACTAACATGCATGAGTCCCAACGTCATCTCTGGATCACCAGTGTAACACAGCATTATTATTTGTTATTTGTACTGAGGTAGTGGCTAGCAGACCCCAGCCCCATTGCACTAGTAATATATAAATACATGTGTAATGTGGCAAGACACCTGTTGTGACAGATAAATAATAATAATGAAGCAAAATCTCTTTGCAAGGGAAAAAAAGCCAAATGAAGCTTTAGATTCAGAATAGTTTCTTACTTAGTCTATAATCACTTTTGATTTAGTGATGGCACTGTTCATTTTAGCCCCTATGTTGTTACTAATCTGAAGATGTGGAAAGCTAGAACTTTTCTGCTCTAAAGAGCAGTGAATCTGTCTTTTCCAATCAGATATAGTTAGTACAAGTCATAGATGAGATTATGAAATGCTTTTATTTAGGGTCATGCTTTTTGAATGTATGCTAACTTTCTCTATTAACATTATCATTTTTCTGAGTTATAACTGTTGGTTATCATTATCAAAAGGTCAGGAGAGAGGTCTGTGGCACCGCTGTTTGCCTTCACATCTGGGTTAGCAACATGTATGCAAAAGACCTTTAGAAAAAGCGAGAGAGTGAGATAGAAAGAAGGAATGGAAGGCATCACCACACTAAATGAAAAGCAAACAATATGCATATCAGCATCCTAAGAAACCATACCACTCTGCTGGGAAAAGCCAAGACAAAAGAATTATCTGACACAACAATTCAAAGCATATTGCACCTGTCAAAATGTCTGTCATCTTCTATAGAAATGTACCATTCTAAAGGAGAAAAGGGAAACTCTAGCAAAGTCACTCAGAAACAACAGACCACTTTGTCTCTTTCCTTCCAGCCAACTCCTCCAACTGAAAGCCATTTAACTCAATGCTAAAGATTGCCTGGAAGGACCAGACAATAGGAAGTTCTCTTTCATTGTCAA